GCGGTTTGGCAGGTGGCCCTCGTGGCCAAGTGAGGCTGGAATTCTCGGAATCGGCTTTCAGAAAAAAGTCCCGGCGTCAAGGGGTTAAAGGGTACAGAGAAATTTACACTAGCATACTGCTTGACATGACACGCCCTCTCTACCACTAAGCTCATGCCGCCTACATCAATTCTTACTGAAAACTCCATGCCTCCCAATACGTGATACAATACATGATGGAGAATGATGCCTAATTGACCAGTTATTAGACAGACCACCTTTGCACTGAACTGGTAAGCGTAAAGCACAGCTGAGATATGTAAACAGTACAAATTGTATTAATTTGGCTTTGTGTGGGGGTACAGGTTTTGGCCTGATGCAAAGCCCAACTACTATAACTGACTGCTTGTGGTACCTGCTCCGGCACTGGAATCTACCCAGCCACCTGATCCGGGCAAACATTCAGAGGTCAAGTACTTAAGATGTCCACTGGTAAGCACAAAGTTGTAGGTTTGAATCCCATAAAACCGTTTTGATTTTTTCAGAACCCTTAGACCACATTGAGAATAAAGTGCAAGTATATAAGTTGGTTTAAGAGAAAAAACTACTATAAAATTAATAGTGAGGACCTCACCTTGTTACAATGGCTAGCTGGGGTGGCTTCAGGTAGGTGCCCATGAACAGAACAACGTAGTCATGCCTCGTCTTCTTAAACTGGGAGACCTGGTTTGACAAGAATAGACAAACAGGCTAATGCATTGACTAAATCTGTTTGAAAAATTGTACCACGCTAATCCTTGCCTTGCAAAGCTTCACAGTAGCTTAAAGGAGCAAACTCTTGATGTTATCTTGCTGGATCTCTCAAGTCCGTAAGAGAAGAGCGAAGTTTAGCGCAGCAGGATTTGAATCCCCAACCTCCACAATATGCACCAGTGCTTAATGAAATGAACTGTCCAAACCTAAAATTGGCAATTTCTGGACTTGCCAAGAAAGGGACCACTGGCAGAGCCAGAGGGCTCAGTTAACAGAGGGAGGAGCACCCACACTGGTATTCTGAGGTAACAGGTTCGAATCCAACTCGGGTAAAGTGTCGTCATTCCTTCGACGGGCTCTTTGCTCCAGGTCTACTTGCGAGTGCCTACCTCTGTTTTGAAAGCCTGCAGTTGTTCCTCGTCACTCATGTCAATATCTAGCATCTTGACAGCGACATCGCCGTGCCATCTGCCCCTGAAGTAAAGACAAGCAAGTCAGCTGACGATAGTCGGAGATAATTTACATCTCAGAGACTGTTTGTGGTTTTCATTTGTGATTATCCTCAGTTTAATACATAACAGGTAGCTTCAAACGAATGTCTTAAAGTATTCCTTAATTTTTGCTGTTCATAAACCCTTGAGTTCACCTTAAGCAGCAGTTCAAGATAAGCCTAATTTATTTGAAAAGTCAAAGCCTCTCATTTATACTCCTTAGTGGAGCGATGCTTCTTGCTGCAGTAAAGTGCCTTGCCCAGAAACACATATATTACATATATATACAGGTTTTGAACCCACAAACTGTCCAATGAGCCAGACACACTAACCTTTCCAATGACACCCAACATCATTTAAATATATACAATAAAACATTGAGTACGGCAGAAATGTTCAATTTCAAACAAAATACAAAATTTACAGAAAATTCCACAATCGAACCGTGTGACAAAACTTACTTGTAGACTGGTCCGAATCTCCCCGTTCCAATTAATTCGGTGATTTCAAGTTGGTCCGGGGGAATGTCCCACTCCGATAACACATTGGATTTATGCTGTACGGAAGGGCAAAAACTTTCATCTCAGATACACACCTTAATTATAGCTAATATTTATTACAACACCTAGCCCACCTGTTCAAACTGTTTTCAAATTCTTAACATTACAAACATTCTTAAACTTCAACCATTCCCTTCCCTGAGTAATTAATTAACCTCTTTCCGCTATTTTGATTGTGTTACTTTTAAAAAGTATGAAGGAATAAAAATGCAACGGAAGCATCTTTTGTTTTCAGCAAAAAAGACCTAGACCTGAATCCTGACCCCTATCAGAATTTCTCCTGACACCCTGCTGAAAGCAATAAACCCACCCGAGCGGAAACAAGAACCCAGCTGACAGCCCCCAAAAAGCATCTAAAGTACAAGTGTTACATTTCAAAGCACTGTGCAGGGTATTGGATAAACACTACTTTGGTTCTACACAGTACCAGACTACACTCAGCAAACTGCATGGACTGCCTAAAGCCGATAATACATGTATATGCACCTGTGACCGCTGTTGCATTCTGCTGAATTGCAAGCACTGGCGGCAGAAAAGGGGTGGCCAGGGGGGCCAGAAGACCCCCCAACACTTTTTCCACTGGGGGCACAATGCCTCCTCCCCTACTATTTGCAGGGGCTATAATGGGGTGGGGCTTAATGGATTGGCCTATTAATGGCTGATGCCTGGTGGGCTCACAACTGGCCTCCCACTTTGAAAATTATTCCGCCGCTGATGGATTCAATTGACAATAAGCAGAGAATAGACATTCAAGGAATAAGCACAAGAACTAACTGACTAAAATGGAAATGCGATGAAATATAAGAGCTTTTGGGGTCAAGTGATCTGGGGGAGGGATGATGGCAACTCCCTCTTAGTGGATCAGGAAGGGTCGTTTTGGGGAACTTACGCTGTTCTTCCTGTGCAACACTTGGTCCGCCATATCCACATCATCGATGCATTCTACCTTTTCTGGCAAAGTCCTCTCTGAATCCGTGAATGGCTACAAAGGAACGAGACATTAAAAAACCTTCAGACGTGAACTTCACAGACGTTTTTGTTTGGTTCGGGACAAAAATGGGGGAAGGGGTTGCATGCATTTTTCAGTCCTGTAAAAGGCCTAAATTGAGAGTGAAAGTACTTACATCATGAGAGTCGTTTGAGTTGTGCGAATCTAGGGTAATTGTTTTATCACTGTTGATTGAGGCATGGAAGGCATCCCTACAAAAAGAATACGAAACGTTACATGCAATTACATTTAAAAAAAAAAGAAGATTATACTTTCGGCAAAAGTCAATAAATAAGTTAAAATGTCTTTCAAGAGCTTTACTTAAAAGATTTTGTTGATATGTTTACTTTCTTTTAATGTTTCAGAAATAGAAACCATTTAGTGATAGTTCTCCTTTGGTGTATGTCCTTACCGGTATGAGTCAAAGTTAGGGTTCAGGAGGCCATTTGGCGCAACATCTGAGACAAAATAAGAGATTTCATAATAATAATGAAAAGTCAAGATAAATCAACAGTTCAACTTAAAAATGCCTTCCAAGATTAAGCACACACAAAATTTCTCACTGAACAGTACTTCCAATTGTCGATATGGGCTATGTGTATGGCTAATCACTGACGTACATATACACATGTATATGTATAACAACGGCAAAAACCAAGCTCCAGTCACAAATACCATAGTTAGATATGACATGATGTTAAAGAGCTCAGGAGTGAAGAACTGCAAAACATTGAGGGCTAAATAGCCAGGATGTCTCTATTTTTACGAAACGCTTGAAACAGGAGCAGGAAAGAAGAAATATAACTTGCCTGGAAACTGAAACTGTGGTTTGTTGTGGTCAACGTGCGGTGAGGGGTGAGCTGGAGTGGGCGGAGTTGTACTGGAAGAGGAGGCGGTGAAGGGAACTGGGCTGGAGGAGGTGGAGGAGTTGGTGGAGGACGGGTTGGAGCTGGACTCGCCGTGGGAGAAAGCCGGCACCTGCAGTGGGTAACGATGGTCTTGGCCAGGCTGAGGTAGGCTGGCCTCCGAGTGGGCTGTCGATTGAAACAAAGTAATGCAGGCAATCAACTTTTATTTACATCATATTGGAGAAAATACTTATGAAGGATTCCACACTCACAGACCACAGACATGATACAATGTACTTAGACTCCAAAACCCAGGTTTATGCTGTGGTCAGAATGTAAACTGAAACTCGACACAAAATCAACTTCATTTTAATTTTTGGATTTTGTTTGCCCTGCCCGACGTGTATTTTAACACTGTATGCTCAGTGTATGCCCTGAAGGCTTGTGAAAAAAACCAAAAGTGTACTCAGGTGTGACTCGAACTCGACCTCCTGCTTACTAGTGCAAACGTCTTAACCACTCGACCACCGAGCTTGTCAGCGTCGGCTGGCTGGTTCGAGTCAGATGTAGCAGCGGGTACTGCAAACAAGTATTATTTGTGTATTTGGCCAAAATGACAGATGCCTTTTACATCACACCGCATAAACAGAGAATGAAAATTCCTTACCTGCTCTTCTTATTACAAGTGGCGATGGCACCCCACCTTCTGTACACAAGAAAATAAATGTAAACAAATCATTAGTTTTTATACTAAACTTTACAATGCTGGTACCTAACACTGTATGCTGGCAATGCAATGTTACAAGGGCGCATATCTGAGCTTGGATCAGGAGATGCTTTTTCAGACAGAGACTTTGACCACCCAAGCCCCTGGATATCTCCAAGCACTGTGCTCAATCTGATGACAAAAGTGTAGAGACTGCCAAGTCTCAGAGAATACCGACAACTTAAGAAAGAGGTCCTTGATCAACAAAATCCAACTAATGGTAGGTACTGACTCGATTTCGCATGGTTACGCTTAATCACACTAAGCCTAGACCATTTTTTTAGCTCAACAAAACGGACGGCAACAATCAGACCCACACCTGAATTGTATAACATTGTGTGCATCACCAGTGTAATACTTACTTCCGTATCTGTTCTCGAACTTCTCGTACTCGTAGGAGTCTTTGAAGACCTGCTCATAACCCCGCGGCAGACCGCAGGAGCGAACCTTCTCTGCCAACGGCTGGCACTTGTTGTGACAAACATATCTTCACACAAAAACCCAGACAAAAACACTGTTGCAGCTGTGTCAAGTAGATTTACTCAGTTACTCTGTTCACACGTAAGCTAGGTTTTATCAGAACAACTTTATGTACAATTTCAAAGCTCTGAAGTACTGTTAAGGCCTGGGGCCAATTTTCTGGTACTGTTAAGCACCTAATTTTATGCTTACAGTGGCTCCGCACATTTCATGGTCACTGTAAGCAGTAAGCAAAGCAAAAGGCACACTTACCATGGATTAACTATTTGCTTAACTTAAGTGACAAATCTCTAAGTGTGCATCCGTTGGCACAAAAACACCAAGCACCACCATGAAATAGTGCTTACGGTTAGCAAAATTTCATGCTACAGTTAGCAGGACTTTTAGTCTAACTGTGAAGCAGCGCCATGAAATTGAACCCTGATGAGATGCTAAACAAATTTTTACTAGTCTGTTCTTGAACTGAATTGCCAATGTCATAGGCTCCTTCATTCCTCTCTTTGATTCCGAGCAGTATTCTGTAGGACTTGTTTCAATACCAATACATTTTTTGAAGACTTGCAAAATTTCTCTTTGGAGCTCATTGTGAAAAAACAAACAAACATGTATTCAAAATGGTGATAAAAAAATTAAGAACAACTTCATCGAAAACAGCAAACAAAGCAGATTTTCTATTTTTCCCAAAAAGTATGACCCACAATCATCTCCCCTGAACTTACTTGCAATCTTTGCATTTGTAACCGTGAAGCATGATTTTGTGGCAGTAGTCACATGTCAATCGAGGAAAGAACTTCTTTCTTCTAAATCTAAACGATGAAAGAGAAGAGAAATTGAGAAGATTAAATAATGTGAGACATTTTCTTGATGAATAATACAGACTTGCTTTAAAAAATTATCACTGCTTCAGATAATTCCCTAGTTAGAAAAATGATATTAGATTATGCTTCCTTGATTTATAAGATTTGGAGTTTGAAACTTATTTCCATTGAAGGAAAATAAATCCTTCACATGGTACTAACCTGTGCTTGATGGAATGTACCATGTTGCTCCGGGGGGCTCTGGGAGAACGAGGGGGAACAGCCAGTGTGTCTGAACAGAGAAAAGGGCAACAAATTTCAAGATCCTTCTCAATCTTCCTTGAGATGTTTTCCCACGCAATGATGGTAGCACATTAGGTAAGGTTAAGGATGTTACACTGAGTTACAACAAAACTCACATTCAAACTTAAGCCTGTCTCGTGCAAACTTAGTACCATAGCCATCAGTTACTCCATGCAGACAATTAGACCCAAGAGACTGTCGCTGCACTCTTCAACCTATGTACATGTACAACTACTGCGTAACTGTAGCAGTGCATTTTTCAATGAACTTTTGTTTCAACACTTCCATGCTGATGAAATTCTTGTTTTTGCAATACAAATTGGCTCGCTTATTCTTGTTTTTTTCTTTTTTTTAAGCCACTTTTTCCTTTTTTGTAAAACGGGAAAAAAAATGGTCCACGGAGATGGCAATAACTTCAAAGAATATATGACCTACATGTACATATAAAACGTATGTGAGTTCTATCAGCTGAAAGGGGTGCTTTCAGTATAGATGTGCTGAAATTGACAAAGGGGGGGTCCTATACTAACATTCAACTGAAAAATTGCGCAAAGATCCCCCCAAAACTGAAAATTATGACAAATACTCGAGATACTTTTTTACAGATTCACTTCTTTCTAGATAAGAAGCTGAGAAAAACAATATTACTTTCTCCATGTGATAACCGTGTAACAAGGAGCAAGGGATTGTTTTTTTCTTCTCTTATCCAAGACGAAATCTTGAGAACTTTGATATACATGTATAAAGGCTGGGTTTGTATGGTACCGGTACCTGTTCTAAGACAAGATTCGGATTTGCTTAGCGAGATGGCTCCATTGTACGGTGTTCTCCCTTTTTGAAATAATCCAACAGGAGGTGACTCTATGGAGAGGCATATTTGGCATGGTCAGTTCGGTTGTGTAATCTACCAGGAACTGGTTCACAATTTACTCAACAAGCAAGCTGCGGGTTAGTTGCTGCAAGTTCTTCATGTTCATTTCTCCCAAAACCCAGCTGAATGGAAAAAAATATGCCAAAAAGGGGGCATGATATTGCATGCTTATAATTGTGCCGCTTTGGAGTTTTTGCAGGTGATTTGCAAGACTTTGACATGTTTGAATGATTGGTGGGGATGCATAGGGTCGGTGCTGAGAGAAAGAGTTGACCTATTACTAAATGGCTTGACCTCCAAAGCTTAGCAGAGATTTGTTAGATTTGTGCAATCGGTTACAGTGTTGGAGTTAATCCAATGCAAGTCCATCACAAGTCAAACTGCAAGCAGCATGGATAAACCATGACAAAGGACTTATGGATTGAGACTTTGTAATGGACTCAACTACAGTGCTGATGAGTTACAGTGTAGTAATATGTGACAATAAAACCATGCAAGTAACACAAACAAACAAAGGAGTTGGATCACACAAGATGGAGAGATGCTTGGGTGTTACAGACTTAGGCCGTGTCCGAAACGGGCTTCCAGAGCTATGGCTAGGTCTATTGTCTACGCATCTCCACGCATTTCCAATGGAGCGGAGACCTAGACCTAGCTCTACACAAGAGATTAAGATGCAGCCTTACAGACCGATCCAAGAATTAATATCACAGTATACTGAGAATGACCACCAAGCTCTGCTTCAATCCACCATTTTGCATCAGTGCTGTAGTCGAATCCATCACAAGTTCATTCCAAGTCATCCTCTCCTAAAGTCACAAGTGATTTCAAATGAGCAGTGACCAAAGCATGTCACTGTTCACCTTGTAACTTGTGCCTGGTCTTGTGAAAGGACCTGCGACTGGACTTGACCACAGCACTGCTCGGCATCCACTATTACTTGGAGGGGGGGTGGCATTTTGCCAAAAAAGGTCTGTAAGAAACATGATTTTTTTTTTCCCCCATATGAAATTCAAAGATAAGTGGGTGAAGGAATAAATTGAGGTCAACTAACATGTACATGGGACAATATCTGTATCTAAACCTCTACAACTAAGCTGCTCATAATTATTGCATTCAAACGAGCGGTTTTGTTATACATGTATCATTGACACAGCCGGTTCACAGACTGATCACTACCAGCATCACACAGGTTGCAAACACAATGCACACAGCATGGTTTCATTACATGCAGTTAATCACGTACAATGCCATGAATCACGAGGGAACTCAAGCACACACCTAGCAACCAGCATGCGCAGAACACTGGCAGGACAGATATAGCTATAAATTGTGACAAATCTGAAAGGTGAACAGTTCATCTAGGAACATTTGCTTTGAAGAAGGAAGTTCCCGGGTTACGCTTTCAGTACAAAGCCACAAATCTTCAATCTGCTTGGCAGACAAAGAAAATTACCCAAGTGTAATTGCTGAATAAAAGTCAGCCCCAAATCAGTCACAAGCAATAAAGATGATATATTTTCGGATGGCAAAATTTGGCTCACGCGTTGTGCATGACTGTCAGTGGCTAAACATTAAATACTCCAGTGAGTGTAGGCAACTAGCTGATGCATTTTTGAAGGATGATTTGCAAGATAACTTGTTTCAAAGAAATGTCCTTTCCATCTCAAGAGATCTGCCAGTTAAGGTAGAACTGAGCCTTATTGTTAGCAAATGATGTTAGATGCTATTAGTTAAAAGCTCTCAAAGATTTTCCACAGCAATGTTTTTAAAAAAGATGTGTAAATAAATGAAAAAATTATATAACTAAAAACCTTATACAATCCACAGTGAAAATGGTGTGAATTACACTTGTACATAAACATGAATGAATCAATGGGGTGCCGTTTAATACATCTGAGGAAGTGAACCTGGTACCCACTTACTCAGTTACCGTATGATCAGAATTGATGAGTACCGTGGAAAAGATCACAGCAAAGGCAATGCATTGCATCACCAACAGAGGGCCACAATGGGCATGAAAACTTCGGCCTGATTTCATGGAACTGCTTAATTGACAATCTAGTGCTAACAGAACGTGTATCTGTAGACACAACAAAAGCACGCTTAACCCTCAAGGAAATAGTTGCCCACATCAGCGGCAAAGCAATCCATGCTATCTCCATGCAACCGTTAGCTCATTCAAGTTGTGACGTTCTGAAGCAGCAATAAGATTCTCTGCTACAGTAAGCACACATTCACACAAACTATTAAGTAGCACTGTGAAATTGGGCCTACCCCCTGCATTATAAATGTGTGAGTCTATGAGCATGACTTCTCCCTGGTGTGTTGGATGTGAGATGAGATCACTGGGATAAACTTCTCGGAGCTGCTAAGCAAAAACTCTGCTTGGAAAATTTATGAGCTAAGCAAAACTCAACAGATAACCAGTCACACGCCACACAAGATCACATACCCTTTTGGCTGGTAATCTGCTAGTTACCAAATTTATGTGCTTTGCAAATACCTGCGCTTGGCAGCTCCTAGGCTTGGCCACTAGCGATCACCCTTTTACTTGGCGACAAAGCTAAAAACCTCGGACACCAACACAGGGGCCAATTTTGCTTGAAGTTAAAACTTTCACCAACACAAATGGACTCACTGGCTTTGCCCGTTTCAAATGTAGAGGTGGAGTTGAACATGCCCTTCTGGGGTGACATGTTTCGGCCATCCATGGTGTCTTCAGAGAAGCGACGGGAGTAGTTCAGGTTAGCCTCGCAGCTCCCACCCGAGGATTGCTTCTTGAGGACAGGCGGGATCTTACTGCCTCGCATCCTGCCATTTTATTGGGGGAAAAAGGTTCAAAAAAGGGTTCGAAATATGTAACTGGGATATGACATTAAGAATACTGTGTTCTAAAATAAGTACATGATCTATGGGGGTTATAGCATCAGTGCTCTCTAATCAGAGGTTATGGGTCCGTTGGATCATTATTCAACAAGCTCTTGTTAGAACAGTTTAAAGGTCACATACCTGTGTAAGAATGAAACATTTCAATTCTTTTTCACTGAATTCATCCTGACAATAAAATACACTCGCCCTTGTTCTACAGCATACATGTATTTCTGAGATGAGGTAGTGTTTACAAGGTGGGTTTGTACCTCCCTATTGACTGCTGGGTTCCATTGGCCACACACGCTTGGAGAGAAACGTTAAACCTACATGTACTTTTTCACTTCAGCTTTTCATAGCCAAAACCCAGTGTCATGAACGGACAACAGAATTGCTCAATATGGGGGGGGGAGGGGAACAGGAAAGGCAATATGGCATGGAGTCGTCAACCTTTCAAGTTTCTTTCCAGGTTTCAATGAAGCTACTCTCTATGTTACCAAAGTCACACACGGCCACTTTTGGTTTCAACTGACGTAAATACTCCGCATGAGTAACAAACCAAAACAAATCGTACGGGGAATGTACGTCAATTGGCATGACTTCTTGGACATATTGCAGTCTTGATACCGGTACAAAGTAATTAAACTGTGACAGGTATGGAAGCAAAATACAGCCAGTTCTGATGTAAACACTGTACGGTAAGTTTTGATAAAGACACAGCCAGCTTTTATGATGTGTACATAAAATACTAATATCACCAATTTCACAATGTCCATTACTATCACCTTTTGATTGGATACTCTCAACTGTGATGTATACGCTCCAACTTTTTGTCACTTTGGTACTAATTTCTATAATTACAAAGGCTTTGAAACATATGGCGGAATTTCAATTTCAGTTTTATCATACACTGGTACAAGTTTACAAGCACTGTAATTTCAGCACTTTCAGTGTAGGAAAAACAATGAGATCATATCAACGTTTCTGCTTGTTAAGTTTTCTTCCAATGCTCAAAAACCACTGAGCACACAAAAGCCAGAACAGTTAATCCAAGTTGATATTCATGAATCATGACTGCCTAATACAGGCAATCAACAATAAAAAGCACCACCAAGAGGTTGACACAGTAAAGCTATTTTTTTTCCACAGTGCACTGTGAAAAACAGCTTTTCTTTATCAACAGAAACAGTAGACAAATTTTCTTTGCCAGCTCTGCTGGGGATCTTAAATTTTCCAAATGTTTGTTTGGGTAGAAGATTTCCAGTAAAATTTTAACTTATCAAGACAAAGTTTTTGGTGAGGTGGCAGAATGTTGCTCCGAGAATTCAACAGTCAAACATTCGCGCAAGTATCCACAAAAACAAACGCAAAGTTACGTTGACTGTGAACTTGGAAAACCAGCCTCTCTGTGGCAACATCTTGGTGATGCCCTGCATCGTACATTGCTCATATTTCGGTCTATTTAATTCCTGCACCTTGATAACGAGCCTCCACCCTCAATGTCGATCCGGTGGGGCAGCGACGCCTCGGTGGACTTGCTGCGCTTCAACTGGGGCTCAGGCACCGGCAGGTTGACGGTGATCATCTTCTTGTTGGGCGGTGGCGTGCCTTTGGCGGTCTTGTTCTTGACCCACTGTTTGGGGGTAGGGGGCGGGGTGACCGTGTACTGGTTGCGACTGTGGGGCTCGATCAGGCAAGGGGGTGGGGTACGGGGCACCAGGTGGACGCCGGGTGGCTCCGAGGAGGCCGAGCCCATGGAGGAGGTGGAGGTACGCTTCTGTTTGGGGCTGGTGCTCTCGGGGCTGTTGGAGGTGCAGGAACTGGTGTCAGTGGGCTCCTTGTCTGAGACGTCCTTCATGTTACTACTGACTCCATCCAGCTGAGCTGATTGGGATAAAATTATACCAGAAGATAAAAGACAGAAAGTAAAAATTAACGAAATCTGGCACAAATAGAAAATAAACAGCTACAAACCAAAATAGTGACCACAAAAGGCTGGTTCATACTTCAGGCAAGGTGACTGTCATCACATTGTCGGAGTTGAAATGAGCTCAAATTTGCAAATTCATAGCATCTCCACATGAGAAACTTACTCATTTGCGCATGGTAATTTTATGAGTACGTACTTCCAATCTAAATATGAGCTCAGGCGAAATCGGGAGCAGTGCGGCAATGGGAACACCGACCAGCAAAAGCATTTCTCAGTCCGAAAACTTTCACTTCAATTTTTTTTTAAAAATTTTCCCTGACTTTCTGAGAACTATCCAGGCAAGATTTTTTTTCCCCTGAAGTGAATGGTCTTCAGTTTCACTGCGATATCAGACATGTAGCAATTAGGCAAGTTGGTGACGAAACTGTTTTGACTGAAACAAAAATTCTGACAACAAACTTAACTTGCTCTGCTGTGGCGACATGGGTTATTTGCACACTTTTTATTTATTCTCGTGGTGTAGTTTGGCACACTAAAAAATCAACAGTGAAATACTACATGTAGTATTTTGTTACCGAAAGGTTTCTTTTGATCGATAAATAAAATCAACTGCTTAAATTGTACATGTATCTTCATGTTGCAAATCTCGTTTTTTCCCCGATTGTGTTCGGTGTGACATATCGGGTCTGTTTTCACTTGGGTTTCTGATGACATGTTACTTTCTGTGGTCACATGGTTATTGGAAAAAGTCAGCGATTGGACTGTCCATGAATGGGCATGCAGTAGCAGTCAGGATGTTGCAGTAGGTGTAGATGCAAATTGTGCTGCGGGATGCGGTGTGGCATGCACGAGGTCCCATGGCAGATTTGGTAATATTTTTTGATCGGCGTCACGAAAATGTCGAGATAACCGGATACAAGCCATTTATTCCGAAATCACGGTACATACATCTGCCAATACATGTAAATGTAATTCACATACATAACAACATGTGGATACATGTACATATGCACATATGCGGTGCACATGTTGAGCATCCATCCAAGTGGTTTAATTTAAATGCTTATAAGACATGTAAGAGAGCGCTATAACGGCAATCTACTGTAAATCAGCTGTTCGGTGTTCAGTGCTTGTTTCCAACCTGCACCATAGCCAGCTTTAATTTTGCCTGTCGCATTGTATTTTGCTCAAAACCGAGAAACATATTGCGTTGAAACTTTTATGTTGTCTTCCTCAACTAATCTGAATATTCCTGAGAATTGAAGAACTTTTCTCTCAGACTGATTTTCCTCCACTTTCCATATTCAGAGATGCGCATGTTTGAAACCACAGAGAACAAAAAATTTCCTGAAATATGTACATGCACAAATACTACTTAATGAAAAAAGCTTGCAAAATTATTTCCCCACAACCACTAAATCTGTGAAAATCTTTTCCCACTTGTGAGAAAAAGTGCGAAAATCTTTTCTCACTTGTGGGAACATCTGTGAAAATCTTTTCCCATTTGTGGGAAAAAGCATGAAAATATTTTCCCACTATTGGCACACTTTTTCACAATTTGTGAAATGAAAAGGAATTCCCTGGGAAGAGAAAAAATGTGAAAAAAATTTGCCCATTTTGGTATTAACTTTCAATTGCAATGTACTGTACATACACACACATATTTACATACCAGCACTGAAATTACCTTACTCCAAACATTTCAAACGCAAGCCCATCGCATTGTCTGCCATACCTCGATATGCTCTCTTCATGTTTTTGCAGGCAACCAGTAGCCTCTTCACCGTCTTCTCTTCACATTCGCAGTGAATGGCCTGAGACCTGATGTCGTACTCCGTCATTTCCAACAGGAGCGACAAGTCCTGCAACTTGTCCAGCATTCTCTGTGGAACAAACAAAGGTCATGTTCATGTTTCACCCTAAAAAGTCCTTTTTTTATCTTTACTGGAGAGTGACGTAGCAAAACAAAAAGGTGCACGTGAACGTACACATACTTTGACCATATGCAGAAACTTTGTTTCTGCTAAGCCAAACACTTCAGCGCTTAGATGAATTGGGCACCAAATGGCTCAGTGAAACTAACCAATACAAGCTACTTTTACTCTTGATTGGCCAAAGCTGTTTTCATGAAGACCATACCAATGGCAATACACTGTTGGGTAACAAGACAACGGAATGAAACTAGATGTGCTAATGAGCAGTACCAGCTTTGAAACTAACTCTGCCACTTGTATGCAATGTAAGCAACCTGTACATACATGTATTTATTTAACGTGTTCTTAAACAGCACATGTACAAGAATCCAGAGATCTATAACTTTAACGTTCACATAAAGACCGATCTTGCACAATGCCTTTATAAGATCATCAGCGACACCAGTACCAGTACCTCCAGCTAGTATTATTTTACTTTACATCTTATGAATGTATTTTCGCATTAACCCACTAAACCAAACATGGGCCATATTCTGTTTGATTCTAGTTACTGAGGCAGAATAGGAATGAGAGAATCGTTTACTCTCACTTCTTGAAGTAGCAGACCGCACACTTAGCCGTTGCTAAGATTTAGAAAGCTGGAGTATCTGCAGAAATCTGAAGAGAGTTACACGTAGGGTTGGGGCTAAAGGCATGAAAGTGGACAATATTTAAACAATTATTACATTGTTGACCTCAGATTTTTGTTGTCACAAATACTAATTGTAACTGACCCTTATTTGAAAAAATTCCAATCCTGTGCACAAGCCCAACTCAGCCTCTAACAAGATAATCAGTATTACCCTTGGACCTACATGTAGGACTGAAGAGCCTAAATATAGGCATGTTAGTGTGGGTACGTATGTGCCTGTGAGCAGGGTGAATTTATAACACATGTGTAGAGAGCACACGTCTGGCAGACACTGTCCCCTATGAGTGAGACTAGGCTGGGAGACACGTTAACAGGATTCAATCAGGAAAAGAGAGGAATTAACAAAAAAGGTCAGGACGCAGGGAGGAGAACCGAGCAGAGTTAAAACTCTGGCCCAGGGAAAAAAAAAAAAAATCTGTGACCGCACACATGCGTCTGTGCGTACGTCACTGAGAGCAAGGAGTCTGCTAGACTGGCCCGGAGTCTTTCCCCACCGAGTTGGGACCCAAAATAAACTGCAGGGGTGAGAAGGAAAACCCCACTCATGCATCATTGGATTGCACAGGACAGATGTGCCCAAACTAAAAAAAGTGCCATTTTTGAAGCCCGGCAGGGTTGAGTCCCTTGATGCAATAGAGGTATGCCACTTGTAAAACAGTACTATCACTGCTCGTTATGACTCAATGACGTTTCCTTCCAACAGCAGGCTGTGGCACATCTAACGTTGAACCGGGAATCTCCACTGCAGGAAGATTACATTTTTCCCCCCTGATATTTTGACAGCAGAACTGCAGTGTGGTGATTTTTTTTTCGTGGAAATAACCTACCGGTAACTGATAATATCATGGCTAAAGAAAAAAAAAGGGGGCTCTTACGTACATGTAGATAGCATCTATTTTTTTCCTTCCTTTTTTTGGCATTTGTACTCAGTATACGTCAGTGAAGTTAATTTCAAACATGTAAATCTGACCATTTCTAGGGAAGGGAAGCCCCTTACACATAATTCTCCTTGACTGCGTATTTCCCTGTGCAACTGACATATTAAACAAGGTTGCATACGTATGGCAAGTGTCTGAGCGCGGACAGAATGATCAAAGTGGCATTTGCTGAAATCAACTTTGTGCTGGATGAACCAATTCTACAATGGTTGCTCCAGTAGCAGCCAGTCTGTGCACAGAAATGTACATGTGCATGAAAGTCAAGCCTAATTACTTCCAGTTCTTTTAAAATACCGTCAGGAAGATTAAGAAGTTTTGGCAAGATTCAGAAAGGAACCTTATTTTGCATTTTGGTGCATGTGCCACAGGTGGACACTGAAAAAAAAGAACATTGCGAATACTTTTACATGTACTGGTATGCTATCCTTTTGGATAGTTCTAGAACTGCCAATCTGCACAGAATTATCATTTGTAAGTGGACAACGTGCACACACAAAATATACGGGGTGCGGCGATGTCTTACCTGGACCTCTGCTGTCCAGGGAAGTCACCACAAAGGAAACAGTCTGTTACAAACCGTGTCACACGTGATCAAAAAGGGCCCATTTACCACAAACATTTTGCCCTTTCAGTCCAACCCATCACCCACCCTTCCCTTTTTGGAGCTTCTTTCGAAATGAAATTAGTGCCCTCCATCCCAAGGCGGGAGTCGAATTGCCCCACCGCAAATTGAATCACTTACTATAAAAACAGGGAAAGGTTAGGCAAGAATAAATGAAGGATTGCCGGTGAAAGACAAGGATACATCTATCTTGTTTAAAAATATATGCCGCCGAAAAACACTTTGGCTTTCTTCCCTTCACTGATCGATGAAACTCCAAGTGCGTCATCCATCACTCTCTCAGACGTCATTGCTTTTATGTTCAATCCGTCAAGTACTTCCTGAAACTATTTTCCCTATGACAATCTTTTTTTTGGGGGGGGTTAAAGTGTCACAAGGTTGGAGTTTAATGTTAAGCTTGGGCCTGCTTTCAACACTTTTTACAATTTTGTTTTTACTCAAATATTTTTACATTATATCCCACTTCCACACCTAACATACATGTATCTCAAACCTCTGCAGTGGTATCACTTATTGAATTTAGAAATTCATAGAACAGTCTAAATAGAGTTTCCGGCCTACATTGTGCTGAGAGAAAATGAACGTGCCTACAATGTACACATGCATTTTAAACTTTTCATCACAGAGGCTTTCATGGACATTTTGTGGTTCCTGTTCTAATGAAAGCTGCAAAACTCCGTGCAAAACAAAAGGATGGAGGAAACTTGAAGCTCCAACTTCTTCTTTTTTTGTTTTTTTACTTTACCTCTCGTGCATTTCCTTGGATGTCTACGACATGCAGCAATTGTCGCAGGTTGGGGTACTGGTTGAGTTCGTTATCAAGAGGATAGCCGTTGTTCTTGACTCGCTGTTTGATTGCTAACTGCCGACCAAAGAGCTGGGCTAACTTGCCCTGTAGAAGAAAATGAAAAAGAGAATACATCTATTGTTTTCTTACTTTCCAAAAAAACAATCCATTTGTCAGAGATGAGAAATCAACAACAAATCCAACAGACGCAAGAAACAATGACAATATCGTGACAGTGACAACAATAAAATACTGTGCTTTTCTTGAGCTTTAAATAGGTAACACGGCATCTGTTCTCTCACAACTGATGAGAATTAGGTGCATCTTGCACATGCGTCATATATGTTTGTGTGTAAAAAGTACAAAATAGTTCTGAAACCTGGTGATTTAATCCCTCACATCTGGGCAAATCCCGGGAAATTACATTCCTGCTTGGCACGAAATTCAAACGAGTTCCAGATTGTCAAGGGGTTGTGATATTCTACTTGTGGGTTAGCAACAGACGCCACACTGGCCTGAAATATCTTCTAAGAAACCACACCACGGGACATGAGATGGTTTTTTCTTTGGAACAATCACTCAGGCTTCAACTCGGAAAGTGAACCTCATTTTAGAATGAATAGAAGCAGCCATTGATAATAGATGTACATGTAGGAAAACCACAGCAGGAAACCAAAAGCAACTGTATGAGTTCCTGTTCTTAATGAATTACTGTGAGCCGAGATTTTACACAGGGTAGGGTGGTTTGGATATGGGGAATGGTCCCTCAAGTGTCCCATGATTAGGAGGAAGATTCATGTATTGAAACACTGTTCATTTGTCATACAAAGGTACGGACACGTATTGTTCCTGAGACTACATCACATGATCATCACAAGTATTAGATGACTAACACGAAGTTGAATGACATGAACAGCACACAGTCGGGGGATAATGTAACAGAAGACGTGATCATGTGCAGAATGTATGTCAATGTATACATACATGAACATCCCTGCCAACATGGCTACAACAGCACAGGTCTGGGAGCCCATCCCTTATCAGTACAGAGCAGGCCACCATGCAGGAAGTTACAGAATACATTGCAAGGCACCAGTTCCGGACTTCCTCGGAATCAGGACGTGTCATGGCTACTGAATTTCTCCTGATCTCCAAATTAGGCAATGTGGAAAACGGTTGAAGTATTACGGTGACAATTTGACAGAGATCACTGTCACTATCCATTTTGATATCAGAAACCAAGTTGAAGCAAATTGACAAAGAACTTTTAGATGTGGGTAATTCCAGAAATTAGGGGTCCAAATGGGTGACATTTTTGTGTCCCTGTTACATCTGACCTTTGTTATTTGACATGGAAATATCACTGGAATTGATTTCAGACTATTACTATTTCTTTGGCAGGTGCTTTGCATTAATTCATCACTCTTGAAAATTAGATCATGTTGTTCTAAACTTACAAAATCATATGTCAGATGTGACGGGCATGAAAAAAACATGGACCCTTCATTTCTGGAATTACCCATACACATGTACATGTACCGTACCGGTATGTGTTTTATGTACATTGTACTGTACATGTACATTTGTAAACGGTTTGTACAGTAGTGTTGGGCGATTCCAGCATTTTTGGAATCGATTCCGATTCCGCCCATGAATCGTGATTCCACTCGGAATCGATTCCAATTTTTACATGTGCAAATGCCATGCTGAGTATACCCGGGATTACATGCAAAATACACTTGTAAGTTGTTTCCTAAACACTTGTGTTATTAAAAATTATCCCCTTTTAGTTGCATCAGAAACATTAAAGATTAATTATCATTACAGATTTTTAAATCAGAAATTTTTACTTGATGGAAGCATATCATTTATGGGAAAAGATTATCAATCTATGTAGCCCACCGGCTTTCAAGTTTTCCAGTTGAAAAACATGTAGAAGTGACCATGAGTTCTAAAATGCGCATTTGACAAGAAAGAAACACAGGGTACGTACATTGTACCTTTATTTTCATGCCGCCAAACTGAAGAAATATTTTTTTCTTAAAGTCCCAAAAAATGTGACCTTATTCCACCAACGATGAATTACGATAGTTTTCTTGATCTTTCGATTGTAAATTCCATCAACGTCTGGACTGCTTACGTGCCGCACAACACCGCTTGCGTCAGCAACCTGTTCGTGCAATCGCTGGTAAACATGTCTAAAAGCTACATTCTTCCTTTGCGTATGCCTGCTACCAGCTTCAACACGAGGCTGTTCCAAGGCAGAGATGGGAAATTTTGATCGTTGCTCATTTGACCTTCCATTCACTCAACAGGTTGAGTAGAATTTCTTTTCTTTATGGCAGAAATGAAGGATGGAAAGTAGTCAAAGATTTGTGTTTTGGCAGAGTGAATGACGGTAATCATGGTGCATATCTCACAGACTCAAACACGGAGCATGCACAAAGAAACGCTTGCAGTCGGCCCACAGCCACAGGTCCGTACATACATGCACCAACGGAGAGCGGTCGGTGCATGCAGGACTATTAGAAACATGCATGAATTTAAACAGCGATCTCCACCTGGGCTGATGCCATTGCCGATCTCACCAGCTTCTCTTTCTTATGAATGGTTTAAGTTTAGTTGGCAAACCTGGAAATATTTGACTTTGAATAACTTTGGATCGCTGATTTTATGTCAAGGTTTGTGGGTTTTGGGGAATTTTCCAAAAGCTGGCATCATGGGAATTTTCAAATGCTTCAACAGTTACTTGCATTTGGAGTATTTCATGGTAAAGGGAGCATTAATATCAGGCAAAGGGCTGCATTGTTCAGGTTTTTTCTTTCAGTTCTGAGCAAATTTTTGTAATATGTGAGGAAGTACAGGTAGGCCTACTTTTCCCACCACAGTTTGCTTCGACCTTGAAGATTAAAGCGCGACGTTGGTCCAGCGGAAGATTTTTTTTTTTAAAGTAATAAACACTCCAAGGAATGAGTTTCTAATTGGTGTCAATCCTTCAGATGTTACAATTGAGTTTCCAATAAGAAATAGAGGGTAATCAGCAACAAGAAATTTCATTGCAAGGAATTTAGCATGTGGGAAAAACTCAGATGTACGTGTAGTTTTCATCACTCACAATGTAGCACCCAAATGCTCAACATGTTAAGGAGTCACAATTTGGCATGCAGCCAACAGTGGGCCATCAGACAAATTGGTCGGAGTACTGCACGGTGCTGCTGCTATTTTGCAAAGCATTCGGGCCATGTCTCGTCACAGGCTTCAGTTTTTGGCTACGAAAATAAAGCCTTGCAGTTTAAGTTCCTTGCTTTGGCTTAAAACCACACATTTTTTTCACAACTCGACGGATCATTTTATATGGCAGTCTTTTGGAATCGCTGGACTGTTCCCGGAATCGGATTTCAACGTTATGGAATCAGCGGTGGCGTGGATTCGATTCCTAAAAAAAGTGGAATCGCGACTCCGATTCAAAATTTGGAATCGTTTCTACCCGATTCCAGTGTGGGTTCGCCCAAGCCTGTTGTACAGTAGCAAGTATCATAAGCTTGCTCTTACGCACAGGTGTGTTTAAGTCCCTAGCTTGCTCCAAACTGCATGTACAACGACCCATTGCCTATGTATGTGCCAATCATATTTTCAGTTTAAGTTATGTGGGCATTCTTTATTTTTTCTTAACCAACAAGCGTATCTACAGTAGCAAAAATAAAAATCTAGAATTCCAGTTGAGTTTTGAGATACATGTGAGGTGTGCCAGTCCTGTTCCTTTCACATTGTTTCAAGCCAAAACCTACATTGGAGAATTTTTTTTCTCCCTTTTCCCCTTTTCTCTCAATGCTCACATCGAGTCAAAATATTGCCTTGCCCTTGCAGACTATCAACAACAAAAAAATGGAGGAACTGACACACCATTTTATGCTGAAGTTCCTACACAGATTTTGAAACATTCAACTGGGGAATGATATGTGTTCATGTCTTGGTCAATACATGGTCTGTTCAGTGCAGACAGCATGATACACTGATACGGTTTGAAGATGCATGAATGAAATTTTCTGATGGGCTTCATAAGTTATGCATTGTTATATGTAAGCATTATCACAGATGAACGAGAAAATTACGTAACATTGGCAATCTACTGAACACACACATACAGGAATACTGATACCAGTACCTTTCAATTGGCATTTCCCAATTTTGCATAATTGTAATGCCCACAAAGTATCAGTTACTGCTCATATTATCTACATGTACCTCTAACAAAAATTTCTGGCGTAATTACAGTACCAGTACATGCACAGTGCATGTACATTTAACACCTTGGGTTTTTCACCACCTAACAGTAAAACAGTATAAGTTTTGACGATAACATACTGCACTTTTGACTTAAAAGTAAAAAGTATACGTAGGTACATGTACATGCAGCCCGAATTTGCAAATACATGCAGCAGCTCATGTACACTGTTATAAACTTGAGACCTGGTTGATTGACGACATTACAAAAGCGAACAAAAAAAATAAATCTGCCAAGATTCTGAAGCATGGTTGCAGACTCCCAAGCTTGCACGTTATACCAGTACAAATACTATGTGCATACAGTACATGTATGAGCAAAATTGAGCACCTCCAGGCACTGAAAAGCTGACCCCTCTTGAAGCCACATTTTTATGTGCATCTACAAAATTTCAGGCAGATCAGTTGAGTTAGCTGGTGTCCAGGGTCTGCATAATAAACCTCCCAGGTCAGCCCGAAAAAAAAGGGGAAAAAAAAGAGAAGAAAAAAGAGCTGGTATCCAATCAGTGGCAAGCCAGGTGGTAATTTATGAAGGATAGGGGCCATTATGTATGCAGGCTTGACAAGATGTGGGGAAAGGAAAGGAGGTAACAGTATACAAATTAGACAGGTAATATCATCAATGCACATGTATTCAGGACAGACGGACTGAAGATGGCAGATTTTCATAATTTATGGCTGCAAGATGCACCAGGCTGATTGTGAGGGTTTGGGCCACTGAGCAGGCTCAATAAATACACGTGTGTTTGTGGCTTACAATGCATTATTTACTCTACACCTTGGAAAAACACCAGAATTACACATGTGCCCATATACGTATTAAATTTGGAGAGCTAATTTTCAAATCTCAGCACGCGGGAGGTACATTATGTGTCCACATGCAATATAAAGTAACTTTGACTTTAGACTAATATATTCAAAGAAGGAAATGATATCAAGTCTAGTTGCTGCAGCACTGCAAATACATATACTAGTACCATTTTACATACAGGCAAGAGATGAAATGCATACAGGCTAAGTGAGTGAAAGTCTGTCGCTAAATGTGAAACCAACGATGCAATAGCTATAATCTCCTTCTCATGGTACATTTTACAAGACTCATTTCCTTCATTTAATGATGATTCATACGCAGTTACTGATGTGCACGTGACTGAGAAAACTCAAGAACATGTACCGAAAAAGCCCATTCATTTTGACTTGCCTCATTACCAGGCAGTACTGATTCATAAACTAAGTATACACCGTGTAACAACCCATGTTTGCCTGTGTACTGGGTGATCTGACTAACTTTGCTTCTTAATGTCTCAGGAAGGCAATGTGTTTATTTGGCTTTCCACAATTGGGAACCAGCCAATGTGTCCACTTCATACGTGTATGATTACCACTTTTGGCTGGTTGCCAGTACATAGTATTAGTCTAGTCCACAGTTTATGCCAGTATGCCGGTGCACGTACAATAAATGTGTCAAAACTAATTACATGTAGGCTAAAAACACCACAAGCAGAAATATATGCACAAACATTTACAGAAATCTTACTGATAAAACTGACAAACCTGCCTGTTTCAGAAATGTCAGCATATCAAGAATTTCAATAAACAGATAACAATTTTCTGCTAAGGAAAGGCTTAGCACTGTGCGTTTCTAAAGAGCAACCAATCTTTACGTGCGAGATGAAAACTCAAGTAAATTTTCAAGGATCTCTGTGTGTGTGTAACGGTAATGTAACTACTGCAGGGAACCATTCATTTTCAAGTACATGTATATGGCACGAAGACGACACTTTTAACCCGTG